AATAGGAAAGTTATTTATTTTCACCTTAATTTTTATCCCCACTTTTACCCTCAGTGACAATCCCCTGCCTCCACCTAAATGAGCTTGTTGCCACCAATGCTAATAGATTTTTGGGAGCAGAAAAACTGAGATGATCAATGACATACCTGCAGCCTGGCCATCACAGTTTTAAAGGAACACCCTGGGCAGAAAACAATTGTTTGTACAAGGTACTTTATTAGGGGCTGCAGTTTTCAACTTTATATTTTTAAAGCAAGACCTGGATTCTAACTGTTATATCACATTCATCGTTATTAATATGATACATTTGGGGCCTCATTCTGAGTTATTTACAAATTGCATTTAAAAATTCAATACATCTAAAAAATAATTGGTTTAAGATATACATTCAGGTATGTTATATTTATTCAATAATAGCCTGTGGCCTATGACAGTGGTCGCCAACCAGTGGGCTGGGGACCAATGGGGTTCATGAGAATGGGAACACGAGGCTACGCCGCCCACTTAGCCCGCGGCTTGTAATGAGGGAAGGGGGGAAAGGGCAGAGGAGGGCAACTTGCCCCACACGCCTCGCCTGGCCACCAGGCTGCTGCTTTCCACTTCTGCTTTTGGCTGCACACAAGGAAAGAAGCAAAAGCCTTTCTTTCTCTCCCCCAAACTCCACCAGAAGTGAATCTTTGGGACCCTGCAAGGCATCCTGCTTCAAGAGGCTGTGCCAGCAAAGACTAATTTCTGGTGGAGTTTCGAGGAAAGAAAGAAAGACTTCTGCTGCTTTCCTTGCATGAAGCCAAAAGTCTCTCTCTCCCCCCAAGAACGGAGCTGGACATGGTATCCTGTGATCCAAATAAAGAATGATCGATTGGTAGGAAAATGGGGTGGGGAATTTTCCTGTAGACTTTTTGGGGGATTTTCCCAGGGTCTTTGGTCCATGGGATTTAAAATTATGAGTTTGGTGGTCCCTGAAGTCCAAAAGGTTGGCAACCCCTGGCCTATGAGATAATATTTATGAGGCTCAAAAAATATGGCAGAAATTGGCAGATGCTTTTATTCCTTGTACTGATCCAAAAACTCTAGGGAATTAATTATAGTCTTCACAGTGACTTGGTTCCAGAAGTCCAGCAATGAGAATTCTGTCATTTAATTCAAAACAGTGCGGGCTTAAAATAAATGATATCCTTAGGCTAATAGCCCCACCTCTGAAGATTTACATTTAAAAGGATTTGAACAAAAGATAGTGTTGGCCAGCTTTCATTTAAAGTTATCACTCATGTCTCAGTCCAACATTATGCAATTGTTGCTGTTCCCTATATTTTAAATGCAAATATGATTCAGAATAATCTACTAGTTTGGATTATAACCAATAACCCTCCATGCACCCCATTCCCACATTAGGTATATATATAATTTGTCTAGATATAATTGATACATAGTTTCATATTTCATAGCATCTCTTATTTAGAAATATGCCATCACAGATACAAAAAAGGTGTCCTTTGTGATAGGAACCCTGTGTCCTCCAGCTGTTGCTGAGTTATAATTGTATTGTAAGCCATCCAGCATCACTTTGGATAGTGAGATGGACAACATATAAATGCAATAAATAAATAATCACTAGCATCCCTTACTAAAGAGTGGGCTTAAGAAGTATTGATAAATATGGTTATATAGATATATAATAAATCATTAAATAAGAACACAGTTCTTCATCCTGCCTTCCTACTGGAAACCAGGAAACTCACCTTCTCCACTGCAATTTCTAAGCTCTGAAAAAGTATCTTTCTGGAGGTCTATTTGTTTCCCACCATTCAATTGTTCTGAAAATCTTTCAATATCTGGCTCTCCTCCAAGACCTGGATTTAAGGTGGTTGCTAAGTCCTTGGTAGTTGTTTTGTTGATTTTTGAATGTATTGTGTTTTTTATGAATGATCCAGTTATTTTTTCTATTTGATTGCTCCCATCCTTGGTCACCTGGGAGTCACTTGGGAGTTTGGTAGCCTCTGTATCTAAAAAAAAAGAAGAAATTCAACATTCAAAACCGTGATGATTTTTTTTAAATGGCTTAGTAACAAATTGTGTGATTGGTTTCCCTAAACCAAAAAGCAATCATTTGCATGGTTTCTGCACTGCAAAAGAAATACAAGTAATGGATCATACTTTCTATTGTTAAGCAAGGCAGTGTTATGCCACATCCAATTTTATTACCTTTTTTGTCACTACAGTTGTTAAGGGACTCACACACCCATTAAGTGAATTTGGCCTCCCTTGTTGACTTTGCTTGTTGGAAGCCTACTGGCTAGCTCACAAATTGCAATCAAATGACTCTGGGACACTGCAACCATTGTAAATACAGGTTGGTTGCCAAGTGCCTGGATTTTGATCACATGACCCTGGGGGTTCTGTAATACTCATAAATGCGAGGAATGGTTATAACTCTCTTTTTTCAGTGAATTCAGTCAAGGACTACCCACAGTGCCAAAGTGATTAACAAAACAAAATGCTCATTAGCTTATAAAAGGTTTGTATAAAACGCCACTTCTAAGTTTGCTCTTCTGGAAGAAACAAAGTTCAGCAGGACAACACAGGTCTTGTCTGCATATTATCACAATGCATTTTCAAGAAACACAGTAACAAAGCTCTCGATTCATTGGCCCATGTAGTTCTCTCAAATGCTGCCAGTTTCAGTTACTGAGGTCTAGGCAGTGTGGCTCTTAGGAGGCACTCCACATCCTTGGCACCAGATGTCAGTTAACACTAATGTGGTACAACCAGTTTAACAACTAGCTCTCACATACATTCTCTTCTTTTACACTGAGGGACAGGTCGATTCCATGTTCCAGAAGTCTGGCAGTAAATGGTTGGTCTTCCAATAAGAAAAAAACCTGGATCACAATGATAAGTCACAGAGGTGCCGTAGGGGAAATCTTCCAAAGTAGTCTTGTCTCGTTTGCTATGGCCAATATTTGGTGGTGCAAGGCAACCTAGAGAGAAGTGATGCAACTGCATTACTACAATATTGATTTACCCCTCAAATTCCACTCAAATTATGACATTCAGATCAACTTGGATGCACCCATCATAGTCCTTAAATAAATACTGCTTATAAAAATCATTAGTATGACAGTATGCACAGTCCAATTATAATACTCTTACTCATCTGGCTTCAAGCACCCATCCCTGGTAAGCCACCCCGATCCCTGTGAAAGGCAGTAGAGAAGAGTGAACTACTGATCTGAAAAATACAAGCAAAAAAGGACCTTGGCATCTGGGGGCTTCACTCCATTTTACAGAGTTTGAGTTATTCCAAATGCATGTCACATTGTAGTTTCCAATGCAGGAATAGCCGGCATCACAAATATAGATTACTGATTTCCCATATGTGAAGTCTTCACCAACAGGCCTCCCATGGATGACTTTTGGGGGTGCGGGACAATGCATAACTACAAAAGATCAAAAAATGGTAAGTATGGAAAGTATCTTCATTCTATATCTGCCAGAAGCTATAACTGTTCAAATATTTTCCACCAAGAAAATAGTTGTTGTGACATATGTGATGCATGTATTCTCCAGAAACAAACTTTGGTAATTCTGCCCATGGTGATCACCATTTGGAACAGTCTGAGGATAACAGTGCATTTTTATTTGAGAGCTATTTGGCCAAGGGAGTTGCATTCCAACAGTCCCTGGTGAGTTAGAAAATAATGTTTTTTCCACAATTCTAAATGGTTTCAAATGTGTGCTTGAAAAACAATAAATTGAAGGAAAATGGCATGTGCATTGTAAAATAATGATAACCCACGTTAGCCCAGATAGTACACATTACAGTTTTTATTACCTGAACAGGATGGCAAAGGAAGGCTCCAGTTTCCTGAAGGTCCGCAGAAAATAGATGCCATTCCAATAAGCAAATAGCCTGGATCACAAGAATAGGTTACAGATGTTTCAGAAGTAAACTTTTGCAAAGCTAAACCATCATGTTTTCCATTGGCTATACTTGGAGGGAAGGGACACTGTGATTCTAAAAGAAAAGAAAAAGAAAAAAAAGAAGTCAGAGAACAGTGTTCAGAATTCCATTTTGATGAGATACTTAGTGGAAACTTGCAATTAAAGGCTATTTACTACAAGTTGATCCCTCCACTTTTCTTAGGGGCATCTTGTGTGACACTTCTCTCATATTTTTTTTCATTATCACAGAGCCCAATACCATAGATTAGCCGTGCTTAAGCCGTGCTTTGTTAAGTAGAGTGGTTCACCTATAATATTAAGCCACAGAACATAGTTTACAATTCACCTCTATTGAGTTCATTAATATATAAAATCATAACAAACCACATTTTGGGCTTAGTGAAATTAGGAAACCCTGGCAATATCTCGTTTAGTGTAAGTTAGTGAGGCTTATGACTGAGTAGATTCTTTAACCTGTATCTCGCATGTCCAAATTCAATCCCAAAGGCTACTCTTTATGCTATGAAGTGTTATGCTACTAGCAGCAATTAGTAAAAAAATTACTTTCGCAGTGAGGAGCAGGAAAGGTCCACGTGCCAGAGTCTGTGCAATGAATAGTAGCATCTCCAATCATTGTATAGCCAGAGTTGCATGTATATTTCACACACATTCCTCTTTTGAATACCATTAATTCCTGGTTGCTGTGAACCCCATTCTGGATATCTGGAGGTGACTTGCATTCAATCTCTGAAAAGATATAAAAGTATTGATTTTCAATGAGTTATCACTATCTCTCACAGGTGTGCATATTCTTAGGAAAACATAGTTTACAACAAGCAAGAACACACGCAAAGGATTACTCAAGTAAAATGGCATCTCTCATGGCTGGCCTACGGAATCTAAAACAGGGTAAGGAGGGAAGGGACTCAGAGGACAGCATTTAGAATATTATTTTTGATATGATATTCAGTGGAAAGTTGTAATTAAATATGCTTTTGGTTTATTCCCTGTTTCTTCAAGCAGGGCATTATTTCTAAACTCTGTAATAAGAACAATATGACTACAAAGTAATTGGCATCATTTTATGACTAAAAGATCATTTAACAGGCTAGTTGAGGTAAGATCTTCACTAAATCGTATGGGTATAAAGTTTAAAGCGTTACCTGCCTCTTCTTGCAGTATAATATAAAAGGAATTCACTGGTGGAAAATTAGCTCTGTCTAATCTAAAGGTGACTTTTCATTTCTTCAGTTGTAGTTTGGATTTCTTGACTGAAGGAATCCTTGAATCATTTTATATACCACTAGATTGTAAGCCTAAATATTCCTCGGTCTGGTACTTTAGCAGTTTTGAGGCAGCCTTATACAAAGGATCCTGTATGTCCAGAACCATTCCAGACAATAAAAAACAGCAACAGCTGTGAAGACTAATTGTTTCTGTACCTCTCATCTTCATGAGGCAAGACAGCCTATCTCAAGAAATGTACCTTCACAGGTAGGGGAAGGAGAAGACCATGTGCCATTATCCATACACTGAATCGTTGCCTCTCCAATCAGAACGTAGCCAGGACTGCATGTATATTTCACAAGCATTCCACTGGGAAATAATGTTCCCTGGTTGCTGTTAATCCCATTTTGAATGTCTGGGGGAGGCTGGCATTGCACTACTGGAAGAAAGGAGAAGAACAAATTAACAAGCTGAAAAAATTAAAACAAATAAATTTTACTTCACTAGGGGAAAAAACAAATTACCAGTAAGAATCTACTTTGGCTACATTTCTTTCACATCTGAACAGTTCTCCCTGAAAAAGGGATTGTGAAATGCTCCAAATCATCTTTCCAAACTGGGTGAATGGGGATTGGCATTTGGTTCTCATCATTGTATGCTATCATTTAATAAGAAAACCTTCAAGATGAACCTTCCCACGTTGTCTCATGGAACAACCAAATGCTCTAGAAGGAATTGCTTTTCAATTTTCAAAAAGGGCTGCAAACTTACAGGATGCTTCTGCTTTTATTATTCACAGAGAAATTAGCAAGAAAATGTGGTGGGGGAAACTACATGTTTTTTTTTTCTAATTGTGAGAAGAGTTGATAAAATCCAGCTTCATTAAACATACCTCTGACACAGATAGGTGCTGGTGAATCCCATGTGTTACCACGCTGACACCGAATTGTATGCTGGCCTTTCATGGTGTAGCCAGAGTCACATTCAAAAGTAATTGTTGATACAGATTGATCACTTGCTTTGGGCCTAATAATTCTTCCATTCTGAATGTCTGGATTCACACAGCCTGTAACTAAAAATGAAAGGGGAACAGTTAAATTTGTCAAGTCCTGTGCCAATAATGCCTTCTTAAGAACTAATTTACTGAACAAAGAGTAAATATAGATATTTTTTTTTTAAAAAAAGACTTCATCCTAAGACCATATAGGATTTAGCTGGATTTAATGGACAGGGATAAGAGGGGGAATAGGATAAAAGATATTCACATGGCATGTTGGTCTGGAGATTCCTTATTGCAGATCAGACAGCCTAAATCAATCCATGGAAAGAGATGACATTAAGATAGTCCTTGACTTATGACTGTAATTGAGTGCAGAATGGGAGGGATGGGGAGGGGAGAGGAGGGATGGCGAAGGAAGGGGAGGGGAAAGGAGATTGTTCCAATTAATATAATGCATACTTCATATTCAATAAACGTTTTTAATGCCACTTTGTCAATCGTTGAATAATAAGATGAAAATATTAAGATACAAGTTGTTGCAATGAAGACCATACAGTCCACATAATGCTTAAGTCAAATAGAATAAACAGAGCACTGAATATTGAAAATAAAAGGAAAATCCAGATTTAAACTTACCCTGTACACAGACAGGTATTGGGGGATCCCACCTACCATCCACTTGGCAATAGATCTCTCTGGAACCAACCATCTTGTGGCCCCCAATGCATTCAAAGCTAACCGTCTGGTTATATTTGTAAGTGCTGGAAATTCCAGCAGCAATCCTTCCATTCTTAATCTGAGGAGATGGACACTGTGTCACTGAAAAGGAGACATACGGTATATCAGAAGCAGATAAGGAAAAAGAAAACATTGGAATCACTCTGTAGAAGTGTCAGGCCTGATTGATTCAGTTTAGGTACCTGAGGAACAGGGCTAATTAGTTTGTCCATACATTTTCTGATAAACATTATACTTCAATCAGCATTCAGGGATATGCTGTAATATTTGCTTGCAGCTTGATATAATGTTGCCTAAGGATGAAGTACTCTTTTATGCAAGTTTCATTATCTTCAATATGATTTGCATCATTTTACCTGTCTATAGTTTCTGTTTTAGAATACTGGCATTCATTAAGCCTTCTCTTACAAATATCCTAAGCTAGATCTGCATTTTGAGTGCTGCTTACTCTGGCAATAAGGAAGGTCACCTGTCCATGCTACTGTTTTACCAAACAATGCACAGCTTCTGGAAGACTTGCCAATCAGCCTATACCTGTAGCAAGACAAAAGAAACAGCATATAATCATTTTATTTTTTTATAGAATAATGCAAACTTTAGAAGGTTGGAATCAAATGGACGCTCTATATCCATCTGTTTACTCTAATTCAAAATGAGCCTCAAGTTGTTTCAGTTCTGACATGGCCTTCAGTTCTGAATAAAATGCAGGGATAAAGATGACTGGCCTCAAAGTATTTTAGTATTCATTCATCCCATGCTTTTTTATTCATGTGGTGTCAGTTGATAATTATATGCATTTATATGTGTAGACAGACAGCATATTTGTATGTGTAGAGACAGATTGCTAGAAAGCAAAACAGCAACATGCAGGAGAAATTAGTTTTCATGATTGCGAAGTCTTATTTTGGCAAAAAGTCTTATAAGTTTATAATCATACAATGGAAGGAGAAATTTTCTACTGATTTATTTTCTAGACAAAATATATCAGAAGGAAGAACATGTTCAACTCAACTTTTCATTGATACAATCTGTGTACCTGACAGTGGTCCTTCCTTTTCATTCTGTTTAGTCCTAATTTTTTATGATTATTTGTTTTAGCAAACTTAGATTGAACGAGAAAGATGCAAAAGTTGCAACAGCAGGCTGAAGCCTCCCAACCTGGCCAGGACAGGATTTTGGAAAAGGACACAGAGCAGTGTGGGTAGGGTGCAGGAGAATCCATGCCAGGAGTGGATAAGCAATAGAAGGAGAAGCCAGGAACATTGGAAGGGCTGGTGGCAGGGGTTGGATTCTACAGGTTCGCACCTATTCACCAGAACCGGTTGTTAATATTCTAAGCAGTTCGGAGAACTGGTTGTTAGAAGAAATTACTGGCCTAATCCTGTAAGGAAGGCAGGAAGGAAACATTCTGGTGTTGCCTCTCTGTTAACCCTTTTTACATTCTTGGCAGGCCTAGACTTCCTGTCTCTGGAACTTCTCTGGAGTTTTTTTCCCCTCTTTTGCTGGTACTTTGCTTGTGTGGAGTGACCATTCAAAGTTACAGTGGCACTGAAAAAAGTGATTTATAACCATTTTTCACACTTACGACTATTGCAGCATCCCCACAGTCACGAGAGGCCAGACGAGGAGATGCGTGCCTCGATGTGAGTGATGTTGAGTTGGCCACACCCAGCCAGTCACATTACCAAGCCACGCCCAATAACTAAGCCATGCCCACAGAACCGGTTGTTAAAAAAATTGAATCCCACCCCTAGCTGGTGGGCTAGCGACTGGATGAGTGCTTGGTTGAAGAGGAAAGAACAGAAATACAGCTGCAGCTGGGACGCATCGATAGCCAGAGGTACAGGGTGAAAAAGAGGTATAGCTGTACATGGTCAGTGAAGGAGGAATTGCTTCCCCTTCAGATCCCAGGGCATGTACTGTAGTAGCAAAGGAAGGCATATGGAAATCAGTGAGGCTACTCATGAGGAAGCAGCCTTACCCTTCCTAATATATTGCACCAGCTGGTGATCACTCAGACTGATACATGGAGCAAAACAGTGTTGTAACCAACCATTCACCTCCCTGTCATGTCTGTGCTCTGATTTCATGTTTTCTGATTCTGGACCTATGCCTTGTTTTCTGACCTCATGTTTGGACCTTGGATTTCATGCCAGTATTTTGGCCTTGGACCTTGGAGACCAAGCCTGGACTTGAGACTTGGGCCTGGATTTTGGACTTTGTGTGTGGATTTGTGGACTTATGCCTTGACTTCAGACTTTGTATTTTATGGTAAGATTTCATGCCTGGACTTTGTGGACTCTAATTTGTTGGTTCTTGGTGGAGGGCCATTTGCTGACAAGCCTTAGTGGCATCTGGGGAATGACAATGAAGGCTTGCAATCTTTCAATAAAACATTAAAAATTTCTTGGCATGTACGTGTGCGCCTCTTTCCCATTGAGGTACAGGCTTTGCCCAATGATTGGTGAGGAAAGTGAGATTTCCTACAACCCCCTACCCCCCCCCCCCCCAAAAAAAAAAGTCCTCACCAGACAATTTCAAGTTATACTGCTCAAAGAGAAAGAAAGAAACAGGAAGAATCGCACTACTGGAAATTGTGTTGGATTCCTTGAAACTTACCCTTCCTCACACTGATAATTTACTGTGGAACCAAAGCGAAAATCTCTTGTTACAAGCAATCTGCCACCCTCCAGTTCTCCTGGATATCCACATGATTTTCCTAGTGGAAAACAGAGAGATTCTACTTTTCCATGCTATGTTTTGGGTAACACAAAATGTATAAAACTGATTCAAGGTTTATATCTGTATTTAGCAACTGACAAACACACTCCTAAGGGTTAAGTTGCACATTTTCATACCCCATTGAAAGGCCATTCCATCCTATCTTTTAGTTTGATCAAGGTAAAGGAAGACTGACATAATAATTAACTTTCTGACCAAATCTGATTCTAACGCATGGCAGTATGGTTCTCAGTTCAGAATTCCTAACATAACCAGGATGACATAAACCAGTATATTTCACAATTGAACTCAGAACAACTTATTTTTTTTTATATTCATCTACAATTTCTGTCCAATCTAACTGAATTGGAAGGGCACAGATGCCTCCAAGTCAAACAAACCAATTTAACAGGTTGTCAACTGTTATTAATATTATTAGTGTTAGCATTGAATATACTATTGCCATGTTCAATTTGATAGATAGGGAAACTTGCAATATTTCTGGTTCTACCTGATTATCCACAATAACTTTCTACAACTCTTAATTTTAATTACAGGGCACCATTAATCAGAGAACGGTCAACCAAAGATAAAAAGAGTAGTAGTCTTTAGGTTCTTCCCTACCAAAAATAGTTAACAAGGTACACATATTTTAAAAACCTAAACCCTTTAGAAAGGGGGAAACAAAATCTTTCTATTACACTTCATGGTTTAAAAATACCAATAATTGATGGCATGGCCTATTTAGTTTTATACTGATATGGAACATATTCTAAATATGAGATATATATCTTTCATCAAGAATGTAGAACTCAAAATCATGATTCTCCTTTATTTATTAATCCAGAATTTCTTTATCATAATTTGCATTGGGTCTGAACATAAAATTCTGGTGCAATGAGCATTTATTCCAAATATGGACATGAGAATGAGTAAAACCAACCAGAAATTTTGCACAGTCTGCAAGGTTGGTTAGCTTTGTCCTGAAGAATTCAGGGCTTGTTATTAACTGAGTACATCATGTGTTTTTATTTTGTTTCAATTTTTTAAAAAAACCTAAATGTGTGGTTTTTAAAAGCTAAATTCTCACTAATATCACATCAGTCGCTATAAAACATTCCCAAACTATTCATAGCTCTCAGCAACTATTCCTAGGGGAACACTAGAGATGAGAAGAGCAGCAGCATGATCCTCCCAAAAGGAATGGCCAAAAGAAAGGACTTTTTGTACTCCTTTTTAAGACCCCTTCAATGAAGCTTCACCACTTATAAAATGTTGGACTCTACCTAAATTTTCCTAATTCTGACACCACAGCACCTTTTGAATCAAGTTAAGGATTTCTTTCAAAACACCTCAATCAGTAAAAAAAAGGTGGAAACCCATGTGAAGAGTGATCCTCTGTTTCTGGATCTCCTTCAAGAACTTACAGAAAAAAAATGTCACAAAAGGTACCTTCACAATTAGGGGCAGGAGAAGACCACCTGCCAGCATTTGTGCAATGAATTGTTGCCTCTCCAATCAGATCATAGCCAGGATTACATGCGTATTTCACAAGCATTCCACTGGAAAATACTCTTGTTTCCTGGTTACTGCGAGTCCCATTTTGAATGTTTGGGGGTGGTGGGCATTGCCTCACTAAAAGAAGAAGAGAGAAAATTGGGAAGAAAATAAAATTAAAAATATACTCTGGGATGATACATCAGGGGGAAAAGTAAGATACTAGTTATTCTTTAGGCTCAACTGTAAGCATCATATTTTCCACTGACTGAGAATGAAGAAAAGTGCATAAAATTAATAACAGAAGTTTAACATTGTTCAAACAATGGAAAAACCAGATTCATCCTTACCAAATTCACAGACAGGAATGGGCGGGTCCCACATACCATCCACTTGGCAATGGGTCTCTCTAGAACCAATCATCTTGTGGCCCCCAAAGCAGTCAAAACTAACTTTCTGGTTATATTTGTAAGTGCTGGAAACTCCAGCCACAATCCTTCCATTCTTAATCTGAGGAGATGGACATTGTGTCTCTGAAAAATGAAACACATATCAGAAGCAGATAGGGAGAAAAAAACGGAATCACTCTGTAGTAGTGTCAGGCCTGATTAGTTCAGTTTGGGTAGCTGAGGAATAGAGATAACCAGTTTGTTAGTGTGAGGTCCTCAAGGAAATATTTGAAGGAATCATTTTAAATGTTTCCAATTAGCAGCTGATAGTCCTTGCTTGAGAAGGAACCCAAGAACCCAAGATTGGAGCAGGAAACCTCACCTCCACAATACACACGGCCACTCCATTCTCCGGTTATCCCATCCTTAGAAGTACAGTAAATAGAGGCATTTCCAATAACAGGGTAGCCTTTGTCACAGGTATATGTTACAGTTGTCCCATACAGGAAATATTTCAAAGATTTTCCAGTATTCTTGCTGTGGGGAATATTTGGTGGTGATGAACACAAGATAGCTAGAAAGAAGTGGAGGTTGCGTAAGAAAGATAAATTAATTTCATTTTCCTTATTCGAGTGTAGATATAAAGCCTGGAACATTTATAACATTCATTAATGTAATATGTGCTGCGAAAAAACAAGTCAAAGTACATATGTTATATCAAGCATCATTATCTGTTGTGGCAGTTGTAGCTGTAAATTGAATTACCATGGAGTTAATATTTCCCCTTGTCTTAAGGCTTTTACAAGCAATTGCATATTCAAGGTCTTAGTACTCTCCTTTTAAAAACAGTGTATAACTATCTCTGGCATATAATTTCTCACATTGTTTCTTTGATATTGTTTCAAGGACATATAATAAAAGGATGAAATAAAAAAATAAGAAGACAGGCCATTTTAATTCAATTGAAAACTGTGTTAGTTGGTAAACCTGAATTAAAAAAAATACCCCAAATGAGAAGAAAGTGTTATTTGGAGAGAATCAACTGGTTGGGGGGGTGGGGGGGGATCATTGTTGAAATTAAATACTGAAAGTTACCAAAACTGAAAACAAATCAAGGTTATGATAGACGATAAAATTTGTAACTCAAGGTTCAATTGTGGGGTCTTTGGTGTTCTCAGAGGTTGGTGGTTTTCTTGGAGAGGTTTCATTACCAAACCCCATAGCATCATTCATTCTAAATAAAGTTTTTTCGTCATGACCTCTGGGCTTCAGGCATGTTTGATTGAGTGATGTCATTTAACAAGAGTGTTGTGGCATATGTGCTTTTTCTCTTTTTGGGATATTTGAAAAGAACTTTAACTTATGTTGGGATGTTGAAATGCAAATAGGAGAAATTACTGGCTGAAGGAAATGAAGATTTAGGTTTCACTGAAGTTTGATATTTTCAGTTTGTCACTGAAGGCCACATCTTCAGTGGTGGTGCAGTGGTTAGAATGCAGTATCACAGGCTAATTCTGCTGACTGCCAGCAGTTTGATTCTTACCAGCTGAAAGTTGATTCAGCCTTCCATCCTCCTGAGGTTGACAAAACCCAGATTGCTGGGGGCAATATATGCTGACTCTTTAAACCAGTGGTCCCAAACCTTTTTTGTACCAGGGACCAGTTTCATGATTATTCATTCTTTACGGCCTGGTACAAAATGATCCACGGACCGGTACCGGCATCAGCACGCACGACCAAGGCAAGGCGAGCCGAGCGACTGGCCAGCCAGCCGTCCCCTGCTTCTCCCCACCACCTTCAACTCCTCCTTTGTACCTTCTCACGGTCGATGGGCTTTTCGGGCTCTTTCTTAATCTCCTCCTGAGTAACGCGAGACTCTTCCGCCATCAGGATGACTCTTCATTTGAAGTCGCCCCCACTTCGATGAAACTAAGGCACGAGGATTCCTTCAGCACCCAAACGCTGCTTTCCAACCAACGACCGAGCAGCTCACCCGGAAGCACTTTCTCAAGCACCATCGAAACAAGATGGCGGCGCCCAAGCAAAGTAGGCCCTACTTTCATTCTTTGAGGCCTGGTACAAAATGATCCACGGACTGGTACCGGTCTGGGGCCCGGTGGTTGCGGACACCTGCTTTAAACCACTTAAAGACACTGTAAAGTGATAAATAAGTTTAAGTACTATAGCTATTGCTATCTGCACTATAGCTGGATCTCAGTTTGATCAGCTCTCAGATTTTTCCCTCCAGGTCTCCCTACTGCAGCCCTCAAATTCACCCCTCTGGCAGCAATGGGACAATATTAAAATGGTCCCTATGTGAGCAAGGCATCTGTTGCTTTGCCAGGGGCATCTACTCCTATAGCATTTTAGATCAACCTTTGCCAGCAGAAAGACCTATTTGATTTCCTTTGAGAGTATGACACTAAATGAGCATAAAAAAGAGAGGTGGGAAGTGATACAGTTGTAACATTACAGATTCTGCTGGATTCCCAGATTCCTATCAGGCCCAGCTATTCTTGGGAATGGCCTTAGGTAATAGAAGCTGTTTTTGAACAACATACAATATAGAGATCCATAGGCTCCTCAAAACTATGCTAAAGGCTCTGAAATGTTCTGATTTTTCTGTAGACAATTGATCTCCCTGTGGCTCCTAGCAATAGCACTTAAACATATATACTGCTTCATAGTGCTTTACAGCACTCTCTAAGTGGTTTACAGAATCAGCACATTTCCTCCAACAATCTGGGTCCCCATTTTACCGACTTTGGAAGGATGGAAGACTGAGTCAACCTTGAGTTAGTGAGGATCAAACTCCCAGCTGGCAGTGAACAGAATTATCCTGCAATACTGCATTGTAACCACTGCACCACTACTAATTGCAGTATGTAAAAGTATTCGATTAAGGTAAGATTTGATTAATACATACATACATCAATCAAAAATCCACATGTTTTATTTTAAGTCATATCTCTCCTTTCCCAGATTCTAGGGCAAACCACAAAGATACAACAAAAAATGGATTCAGGCAAATAATGTGACTTTTGGATATAATTGCAAAATATGTTTAATTCTTTGGAATTTGCAAGATTAATTAAGTTTATTTTAATACAGTTGTGTTCATGACAGCTTATGCCACATTGAAAATGATAAAATGAAGCTGCCATAAAATTTTTAGTTAATAATATTTTTTTTATTAATGCTGTGTAATCAATTCCTAATGGGATAGAACAATTAGTAGTTAATAATTATTTTGTGCACAAGTTCTTTAAATCAAAAAATACAATCTCTGAATGTGTAGATACATAACTGATTTATTGATAGATTTTAAAACTTCTATACTCAAAATATATATAACACAATTAAGGTTATTTTATGATACCAAGAGCGTATAGTACCTAAAATTACATTGTGTTTGTACTGCTGTGCTCTAATTTCAGACTCATCTATTTGAATGGAGTCTGCAAAAGGGACATTAATGGTAGGTTGGACCACATTTTTGATAATGGTATCACCAACAAACTTCATAGACCCAACTAAAGCTTTTACCCTGAACTTGGCATTCTCCAGATGAATAGCATGTTAACTCTCCAAATTCAACTTGATTCAGCATAGAGGTAAAAGAGACTTTGGAGGTCTTCCAGTTGAACCTCAACCCCTTTCAGAGAAATGGCTGTTCAGTCTCTTCTTAAAAACCTCCCGTGATAAGCATCTACAACTTCTGAAGGCAAACTGTTTCACTAGTCAATTGTGCTCACCATTAGGAAGTTTCTCCTTAATTCGAGGTTGCTTCTCTCCTTGATTATTTTCCATCTATTGTTTCTTGTCCTGCCTTCTGGTGCTTTGGAAAATAAGATGACCCCCTCCTCTCTGTGGAAGCCCCTCATATGCTGGAATATTACTATCATGTCACCCCAGTCCTTTTCTCTACACTAGCCATACCCAAATTGTCATATGTTTTCGTCTCCAGGCCTTTGGTCATCTAAGCTGCTCTTCTCTGCACTTTTTCCAAAGTCTCAGCAAGTACAAAAAGTACATGATATGAAACATGATTTTGAAAAGAAGTCACAATGGAATCATAATTTAGCTAAAGAAATATGACTGTATGCTCTACTTACGGTGACATTCAGGAAGGCTGCCACTCCATTTTACTCTTTTTCCATTTAAGGCACATTGTCTGGAAGACTGTCCTATCAGTTTGTACCTGCATTAAAACAGAAACTATTACGGAAAGGCCACTTATTCTTCCTGGGTTCAATTTCCTATTACCGATTCTCAGAAATGCCAGTGGAAAAAAATAGAACAATTACAATTCAATAACTTCTAGACGACCATGTGCTAACAACCCTGCATATAAATAGTGAAAATCTATTACTTACAAAGAACAAACAATGTATGTGTATGTTGAAGAATTATTAGAGGAAAGCATATCCCATCCAAGCCATTATTTTGCAGAGTTCTGTTACAATATTTTATCTTTGGGTCCTAATTACCTATTTTCTCAACTACCCAATCATGTTTGGGTAAGCAATATAGGCCTCTCCATCTAAAATATCATACATAAATGTACTGGTAGGTAGTCCTTGACTTATGACCACAATTGAGCCCAAAATTTATGTTGCAAAGCAAGACAGTTGTTAAGTAAGGTTTGCTCCATTTTGTGACCTTTTTGGCACAGTTGTTAAGTAAATCACTGCAGTTGTTAAGTTAGTAACAGGCTTGTTAAGTGAAACCAGCTTCCCCATTGCTTGGCAGAAGGTCACAAAAGGTGATCACATGACCCCAGGACACTGTGGCCATCATAAATATAAACCAGTTGCCAAGCATCTCAAATTTGATCATATGACTATGGGGATACTGCAACGCTTGTGTGAAAAACGGTCATAAGTCACTTTCTTCCGTGCCATTGTAACGTCAGATAAAGTTGCAAATGACTGGTTGCAAGCCAAGGATCATTCATGGTAAAAAAAAGCTACTTAATCACATTTAATAGGGATGAGGAATAAATTGGAAGAATGAATCAGTAGATTATACAATCCTATCTGCCTGTATTAAGTTTTATAGAAGTCTGTACTTATCCTCAGGGTGAAAGTGTGCAAACTTCAACACTTTCACTGGGTTCATGTTCTGCACCAAGCCATATTCCATTGAACAAACCACTTGCTGCTGAACTTGGGCAATACACTATGGCAAAAGCAAACCATATTTTGGCTAGTTCCTCCAAAACTTTGTCTCACTGTAAGCTTTTGTTATGTCCATTCAGCTTTTATATATGAAAGAGACAATATCTTGTTCTTCATCATACGCCAGCAACCCATTCTGAACAAGCCTTGTCAGTGTCTCTGTTTGGCCTCCATTCCCAATGGTTGAAGTCACTATATATACTTTGCATTGTATTAAAATAACCCCCTTAGCATGACTTAGCTTTTTAAAGAATTTTTTAAATATTTTAATAAAATTCAGTAAAAAGAGAAATAATTAGTCAGTGACTCTGGTGCCATGTTGAAATTTCAGGCTTTAAGGCAGGCTTGTCCAACCCGCGGCCCAGGGGCCGCATGCGGCCCAGGTCGCCTCGTAATGCGGCCCAATGCCCACCCCAACCATCGTGCCACAGCCAGCGAGAAGGAGGACGAGAGGCAGGCGCGAGGCGGGGCGAGGCGAGCGCCAGGCCAAGCAGCAAGAGAAAAGGCGGGCGCTGTCAGAGCGCCACCTCCTGCTGTTACCGCCGCCGCTTCTGCCCGCCACCGCTGCTGCTTCTGCCCCCGCCGCCGCTGCTGCCCCCGCCGCCGCCGCTTCTGCCCCGCCACCACATCCGCCGCTTCTGCCCCCGCCACTTCTGCCCCCGCCGCCACTCCCACCGCTTCTGCCCTGCCACTGCTGCTGCTTCTGCCCCCACCGCTGCTGCTGCCCCCGCCGCCGCCGCTTCTTCTCCCGCCGCGACCCCCGCCGCTTCTGCCCCCGCCGCCACCGCTTCTTCTCCCGCCACTGCTGCTGCTTCTGCCCCTGCTGCCGCTGCCCCCGTGGCGGGGGAAGAAGCGGTGGCGGGGGCAGAAACGGCGGCGGCAGAAGCAGCAGCGGTGGCGGGGGAAGAAGCGGCGGCGGCGGCAGAAGCGGCAGCAGGGGCAGCGGCGGAGGGGGCAGAAGCAGCAGCGGTGGCAGGGGAAGAAGCGGCGGCGGGGGCAGAAGCCTTCCCCCGCCGCTGCTTCTGCCCCCGCCGCTGCTGCTGCTGCTTCTGCCTTCCAGTCCTGTCTCATCCAGCCGGGCTATTTGCAGGAGGAGAGGTAGGCATGAGGCAGGCGAGCTTCCCCCCCCTCCCCGCCCCCGCAAAATGTGGCCGGAAAATAAACTGTAATAAAAAAAACGGTGATAAAAAATAAATAATTTTTAATAAATAATTAATAATAAATAATAAAAACATCTCACTAACTTTATTTCCAAATAAATTTAATATGTTAACTATGTTTTCTATGGTTTTTTGGGGTGATCGGGTATCGTTACCGTTATTTTATTTTATGTGCGGCCCAAACCAAATTTTCATCTTCTAATGTGGCCCAGGGAAGGTGAAAGGTTGGACACCCCTGCTTTAAGGTGATGTGAACCAAATGTTCCACAGTCATTATCATAGGAATAAACTTGAGCTGAGGGCAGATAGGTGGGCAGAGGTACAGGTGAAGTAGAGTGACAGGGGAGTAATGGCAGTAGTATAGAAAGGAGACAATGATTGCAAGGAGGAAATATCAATATCACATATCAATATGTGTTCTTTTGCTGGGACCAACTTCAAAGCTGTGAAAATTCCTTATTCAAATATACTTCGATGCATGATGATCTACTTTTAACGGTCATGACTATTTTTTTTCAAACAAAGGGTTTTTTTTACAACAAAACATAAAAACAAAACCCTCTTTCAATTATATACATACAGTGTGTCAGTTGGTTACAATCTTTTGTGCTATCCTTTTTTTACCATTACTCACAAATTATATAAATTCTCACCTTATCAATCTAGTTTGTGCTTATGTAATATCAATTATTAAACATGCATTTGAATAAACTATTTTTTCATCATTTTATACGAGATATTCTAATTGTCATTATGACTTAATCTTATACATTCATCCAATGGTTATATATTTTATATTGTATTTTATATCAATCTATTAACTTTTATTGTAAGGCTTACTAATCTATTTCTTTATCATGTCTTTTTATCAAACCATTGATAAAATAAATCCCATATCATATAAAATTGTTTATCCTCTTGTTCTCTAATTTCAAATGTCAATTTACTCATTTCGGCACAGTCCATGATTTTCTTAATAATTTCCTCCTGCATAGGTATTTTTTCATTTTTCCAATTCTTAGCAAATGCAATTCTAGCCACTGTTAAAATGGTCATGACTATTAATGAAAACTATTTCACCAGCTTCTTGAGTATCATTCTAGCAGAACCGATACCATTTTTTATTATCCAGGGCAAATAAAATGGGCCAAATTTGAACAATTGAGGGAAGTGCATATATATCTCAGAAAGGACTGCTGTATATATTTTTGTAAACTTCAGTAGTTATTCTCATTAATGAGTGTAAATGCCCACGTGTAGTAAAATACCCTTTTATGCATGCACATCAGAGGTGATATTCAGCAGGTTCTGACCAATTCTGGAGAACCGGTAGCAGAAATTTTGAGTGGTTCAGAGAAATAGCAAATACCATCTTTGACTGGTCCTGCCCCCATCTACTCTCTGCCTCCCGAGTCCCAGCTGATCGGCTGGGTCTTCTTTTGTTGCCCTGCACAAGAGAACGGAGCTGGAAAGCAAATTAATGGGATGGGGAGGGAATGGGATTTTACAGTATCCTTCCCCTGGAGTGAGGTGGGAATGGAGATTTTACAGTATCCTTTCCCTGCCATGCCCACCAAGCCATACTCACAGAACTGGTAGTAAAAAAAAATTGAATCCCACCACATGTATCTGGGATGAAGATTCTGGGTTTTGTAATATCCCAGGATCTGAAATGGACACCTAACACTAGAACCATCATTAAAAAGGCACAACAAAGAATGTTCTTCCTGTGTCAACTCAGAAAATTCAAACTGCCCCAGGAACCACTGAAACAGTTCTACAGAGGAATTATGGAATCTGCCATTTGTACTTCTATAACTGTCTGGTTTAGCAACCAAATAGGACAGGTACAGATTTCATTGGATAGTTAGGACTGCAGAAAAAAAAAATTGCAACCAACCTGTCTTCACTGAGGACCTTTATACTGCACAGGTCAGAAAGAGGGCTGAGAAAATATCTACAGATCTCTCATATCCTGGACAACTGTTTCAACTCCTCCTCTCAGGAAATTACTACAGGGCCATTACATGCCAAAACGACACACAATTTTTCCCCTCATGCCATCACTCTGCTGAACACTTAATTACCACAGTATTGTCTTATGTCTAAGGATATTTACTCAAGTAGTAGGGCTGTATTACTATTATCCTTCTCATCTTTTTTGCATTATCTTCGCCATTGATAGCTTATAATTATATACTGTACTTTGTTGTTGTATGTACACTGAGAGCTTATGCACTGCAAACAAATTCCTTGTGTGTCCAATCACACTTAGCCAATAAAGTCTCCTGTTCTGTTCTATTGCATTACATTGCACTGGCACATATATCCTGAAGATTTGACCTGAATTCTTAGCTCCCAAAGGGATGTGATCCTTTTCTAGTGGAAGAATATTCTTTAATGTAAAGGGTAGCAGTATGCATGTGCATGCAGAAGCATATAAAAAAGCACCAAAGAATGTTTTATGCACATACCTACTTGGAAATATGACTACTCAGTTGACCATAATAAAATTCTTCTTGGCAACTTATCCTAGCTCAAAATCCATTCCTCTGAAAAACCAATCTTATTGCAAAATAAATGAAAATCATACAAGTTTTGTCTATACTTACCCTTCCTCACAAGTATAATTTAATGTAGAACCAAACAGAAAATCTCCTGATACAATCAGCCTGCCATTTTCTGGTTCTCCTGGATGTCCACATGATTTTTCTAGCAAAAAAGAAAGAACTTGTATCTTTCTTATGCTAAAACATTCAAAACTGAAATTCATAACTATATATCATATGAATACATTCCCAACACGTTCAAAAAATGGAGAACATTTCCTCCTATTTTTATGAAGAAAAAAGCCACTCACTTTTACAAAATTCTTGAACTTCTGACCAAACCTGATTCCGGATACATATAGAAGAGGCATTCATTCTTGGATGCTTAACATAACCTGGGTTGCATTTGTATTGTACCAATGACCCAACAGGAAAGGAATTCATTTTCTGATATTCATCAGTGAGTTCTGCAAAGTCTAACCTCATGGGGATGTCACAGTTACCTCCTGATTTAAAAAGAAGAAATAAAGAAAAACAAATGGTCTCAGTGTTTATGGTTAGATTTTGTGCTTCAATCTTCTGATTAATTTTCTTTACTTAAAAAGATATCTCAACATTTGAAAGGCCAATATACAAAATGCTGTGGTTATGGAATGTACCTTCACAGGTAGGGGCAGGAGAAGACCACATGCCATTATCTATACATTGAATAGTTGCCTCTCCAATCAGAGCATAGCCAGGATTGCATGTATATTTCACAAGCATTCCACTGGGGAATACTGCTGTTTCCTGGTTGCTGCGAGTCCCATTTTGAATGTTTGGGGGTGGCTGGCATTGCACCACTAGAGGAAAAAGGGAGAAGATTGGAAAGAAAAACAGATTAAGAAAGAATGTACTTTGGGCTGATACATTTATTTCAAGAATGAACAGTTCTCCCTCAAAAAGTGATTGTGAAATGTTCCAAAGCATTCTTTCAATGTGGGGTTCCCCTTGGATTCAGGAATCCTGTTTGATGAGCAGGTTATAGTTGCAGTAAGAGGACATTTGCACAACTTCACTTTGTGCATCATTTGTTACATTTGCTACATTTGGCAGCCCTGAGGCAGTGGGGCTTTTTTGCTGTAATAAATCCCACTAAGGTGTGGTCTGAGCTCCTGAAGGTCCTTTAAGATCTGGTTATGTCAGCAGACCTGGCAGCCCAAGAGAATAGGAGAACTAATATATTCCATTATTATTAACATTCTTTTGTCTGCTACTTCTTTGTTCTTTCTCCATTTTTGTGGCCTTTTTATGGTTGTATAATGGTGTTCAGGTTTTTATAGGCTGCTTAGTTTTGTTGCATGCTGCCCAGAGTTACTTGTTTGGTGGCAATGGGTAGCTATGTAAATCAGATAAATAAATAAATAAATAAATAAATAGGGTGAATGGGCATCAGCATTCTTTTCTGAAAATAGCATGTTGTTACTTAATAAGAACCCCTCCAATAAAAACTGCTTTCATATTTAGTGTTCATAGAAGAAATTGGCAAGTACAAAGGTGGGAGGGAGACATGGGGAGCTAATTAAATTTTTTACTTATGAGAGGCATTGATGAAATCCAGCTTCACTACACATCACTGACAGTTGGATGCTGGAAATCCCATATGTCATGCTGATACTAAATTATATGATTGCCTTTTACACATGTAAATGTAATTATTAATATGGGTTGATAAGCTTCTTTGGATTTAATAATTTTCTGGATTCACACAACTTAGACCTGAAAATCAAAGAGAAGTAGTATAACTTAGTTTAGTTTGATGTAAATAATGGCCTCCTTGAGAACTAATGGCACTTTCTTTTTTATGAAACACAATTTCAAATATTCCTCTTCCAGCATAAAGAACTACACCTTTGATTTGAAAATATAATCTGCTGAACAGATAGTTAAAACAGTCTTTCACCTGCTTGATGATGGCCAAGTTAAGAAGGGAATGGGATAAGCAGGATGAGCAATATACATATGAGGCCTCAGGCAGGAAATCTTTTATTGGATGTCAGAGAGTATAAATCAAAGAGAGGCATTTGAGATTAAAAACAAAGAAGACTCCTAAGCAGCTAAGGAATAGAATAGAATAGAATAGAATAGAATAGAATAGAATAGAATAGA